CCCTTGGTTTTCCAGTGTCTTTGTGATGGAGAATGCGAATGGAAACAACCCCACCACTGTCGGTAAAGAATTTACGTATATCTTCCTCTTGTGCCTGCCAAAACAATATAAGCTTCTGTCAGAAAATCCCACACATTTGATTTCAGTAGGTCGACTTAGTAAACTTGACATGAAGCCCATATACTTTACCTTGACACTGAGATTCGAAAGAAAAGCTGTACACTCATCTGTAAAAACTTTTGGCTTCACTGGTTTGCCGTCTTCTGTCTCTTCTTTATTTAAATCAGCTGCTTTTCCATTCTCTGCTTTAACGTTTTCTGTGTGTGGTACAGTTGCACTCTGACCTTCTGCGTCCCCTTCATTCACTTTTTGACTCTTCCTCTTCTGCCGCTTAGCCAAAGACTCTTCTTCTGCATTTGGTCCTGCTTTTCTCTTTTCACGTGCATTCTTTTGTGGGTTCTGCTCTTTCAGGCTGGCTTGCGGTTTGACTGGTGTAGACTCCTGTTGTAACCTAATCAATCGTAGCTCTTCCAAGCGTGGTGTAACCTAAGGAACAAAATTGAAGCGAATTGTATAATTTACAGCTTCCACAACTAGTCTGCATGTTTTCTTATCCCGAAACGCATCACTTTTAAAGCAGAATATCAGAGTCAAATATACGGAAACAGGATTCAGGAAGCCAAAAGCAGTGCGGTAGATATGAAAAGGACAGTAAACAATAATACCTTTTGAACTGCGTGGTCAAAATCTTCCAAAGCCCCATGCTCCCTTTCAAAGCACAACCATTTGTGGCATATGTCCTGGAAGATTTAGGCGTATAGATATTAGAGATGTGCAGTGATGTTTCAAAGAAAATGTCACATGAAGAGTAGCTTAAACTGAACTATATGAGAAAGGCTTAAATTGAAATATTTACCCCAAATGGTCTTAAAAAACATGATAGGGTGACAATCTTACATAAACAATACATTTGATCAATCATGGCATATCCAATAGGATGATCCAACTATCCGATCACCCATCCCTTTTTCTAGGTTTTACAATTTGATTATCAGTTTCAGAACCTTGTACTAACGTCAACTTGAAAGAAAAAGACTATTATTCATTCCACACAAGCATATGGACAAAGAGATGAAATAACCATATACCTTCTAGTGACTCTAGGTATTCTATTATAGATTCATTCTGTAGATTAAACCAGCGATTTCCATGGAAAACCCATTATGCAATCAAGATAACTATTCTTTAGAAAATAACCATTGGAAATAGGAGAGACATTGACTGACAAAAGATTCAATCCCATAAGACACCCCTTAACGTAAACAGTTCAGCGGCAATCACACCGAAGCTGAGTGCTCGTGTTGCAGTTGCCGCCAACATGATTTATCTACCTTCCACTAACAATAGACTGTGCTGATACAGTTGCATGTGAAGCTAAATAATCTTCTCCGGCTCAAATATATCTACTTAGATAACAAAAAAAGTTACGAGGATCACATAAAACAAAAGGGAATAGAGTGCATACCTCTGAGCCAGTCCCATCAAACTTTCTTGTATAGCACCTCCGGTAAATGGACCTAGCTTCCTTTATATGCCCCAAATGCACTTCCATATCAATGTATGCATGCCAGGCTGCTAGCATCCCACCACTGGAGAGAAGCAAGTAAGATGAACCATAATGAACAAGGTTGCCTTATTCTGACAAATGTGTAATATGCCTGGATTATTTCAAGTTTTAATTTGAACTTAATCAAAAAGAAAGGATGTGGCTTGCAAAACCTCTTCTTCAGAAAGTTTTCCCAAACACCTCGTGCTCCAGCTTGATCTTTTCCAATATTAAGTTCCAAGTTAGCCCAATAAGCATGCAAACGCAGCAAACTTTCCGTATTTTGCATGTGAGGCGTTAGGTAATCAGATGCTTGCTGACAGGAAAGAAACAATGAGTTAATACAAGTGATTTAGAAGAGGTCCAAATCAAGAGAAAAACTAAACAAAAAAGGTAACCGTAGAAAGCCTCTCATGTGGGAAGCTAAGAAAAGAATGCAGTAACTAAAAGAGTTGCAAATGTGCAAAGATCTTAAGCTCATGAATTTGAGGATACTATTGATGGTAAAAGCAGCAGACAAACCTGAAAAGTTTCTCTTATCAGAGAATAATCCAAAGTCTCTGCCATCCTAGTTGATAACATTCTTCTTCTCAGGCCGTCTACTCGAGTGAGATATAAATCCAGGTACTGATGAGGAACATCTCATTAGAATGAATGGATAGAGTGAGTGGAAAAATGCTAGAACAGGATTAATGAAAGCAAAAGTTTAATCGTGTACCTCCTCAAAGGAGGAAAAATTGCACTGCAATGACTTCTCAAAGACCTGCATGCAAAAATTTGAATAGTAAGATATATCTCATCATAACTCTCTGAAACTTTCATAGCATAACGCATAGGATATGGTAAGAAGAAGATAACAGAGATAATCCAGTTTTAGGGCAAGCAACCATCTTCACTATATTTCTTATGTTCTTCAACTTAAATAATTGAGACTTACAGCATAAATTTCTTTCTCGGATGCAGAAGCACGCTCTAAAGCAAGCAAATACCGTGCCCAAAGATCTCCAATCCATGGGCAACTTCTTGTCGCCCTAGAATAGGCATGCGTTATAGCTTTTCCAACCTGACACAGG